TAAGATGATAAGGATTTGTCTTTCCTGCTGCTGATAGGGGAAATAAATATACTTGTGGGATGAAGGGTCAACATTAATCCAGCCGACGTCTTCTTCCGAATGGGCACATTTGTCATGTTGAAACCAAAACGTGTGCAGACAGGGAAGGGAAGTTAATTTACCCTCAGAAACAAGTTGCTCAAAGCTTAATCAGCAGATTTCGTAATGAGTATCGTAAGAGCTGACCCGTGCGCGTCCACGTTAGGCCTCCGCCCGTCTTTGCGTCCGTTCTGCAGTATAGCTCGGCTCAAACAGCTCCAACCATACGTCCTCATGAAGGGGGGCAGCTGGTATAGAGTGCAAAGGTCAAATTTAGGATCTTTAACAAAAAATAGCGTCTCTGGTGTGAAGTGGTTGTCTCTGAATGCTGAAGTGCTGTTATGTCAGTTACATAAGTATGTGGCACATCATCAAACAAACATTTTATTTGTATGTTTGCTTCTCACTGGTCGTAGTGGATGCAGTGTAACAGGTTCACTTTAATTTATTCCAATAACACAGAGCTGAACCAAAGAGTCTTTGTGTGTGGTTTCAAACACTTCCTGGAAAACATCCAGATGACCGTAAGGTTTGTGTACTCCACTCGAGCATAATCTTTTTTTAAGTGTTGAGTTTGAATTTTCCAGTGTGTGACAGGCTGTTTTCACACGGTTTTAACAATCCTAGAAATGCGTTCAGGATTAATTCTACTCAAAGATGAAGTGTTTGCACAACCCACATTTGTTTTTCTTTCCAGGTTGTCTATCACTTTTAATTCGACCTAAAACAAACCCTGAAACAACTGTCTAACGTCAGAATCAATTGTGTGCAACTGTGTGTCTATGTGAAGTATTTATGGCCGGAGTCGTCTGCAACAGGATGTTACGATTTAAGTCAATGTCTGATTTAAAGAGTTGTGTATTTTGTTGCATGTCAGTTAGAGACACAGATGAGTGAATACTTGACAGCTCAAACACACTGCAGCACCCAGTGTGTGCACCAGTTCTCATAGTTATAATATACCATAACAGGAAATCTGGAGGGGAAAGGCACAAAAAAGGATTTGAAGACCTGAAAATCACCTGAAAATAGCAGGTTTTCAGTTCTCATAAATATCAGGTGTGACTTTGCAGGATGTGTCATTCCTCCTCGAGGAGCCTATAATCAAAGATAGGAAGCGAAACCCGAGCAGATGTAAAGAATGGCTGCAGCATGAGGAAACAGCAAAATATATACCTGTGGCTATCAGCCTTCTTGGAGGCAAGGAATCCCAAATTCACAGACATCAGGTAATCAACATCAAATGATAATGAAATTAAAATATTCCCCATTTTTCTGTGGACCCACTGGAACCCACTCAAGGAACCGGAGCCCAGGCCGAGAACTGTTTAGTGATCAGAGTTTGCAGGCTTTTGTTGTAACAGCACGATGAATGTCATATGTTATCCAAAAACCTAACGCATCCGTGATTTAATTCTAATCACCAATTCAAATAACAGCTCAACAGACTGCTGATGCAGATGCACAGATGCTGAATTTGTCATATTTTGAAGTACTTACAGGAAGAGGGTGAAACCTCGTGCTGTGAGGCCATGTGTTCTGCTGCACGATCTGGCCTGCAGGATCCCAGTGGATGAGAAATTAAGTCATTAGTTAGTCCATGTTGAACCTCTATGGCCGCTGTGGTCATTATCATTAACACTTGTAACCTTAAATACTGACATTCGACACTTCTTGTCTCAGTGACTGTTCACTCTTCCACACTCCCCTCTCCAATATTTGTAAAAAATAAATACATGAAAATCTCTTCTTTGTTTCTTTTAAACATTTGTATACATAGTTTTTATGTCTTGCATTTTATTTATATTAAATCTTTCCTCTTATGAAGTTAACAGCTGAATTTAAAAGCCATAAAACACATCCTTTCTCAACACCCTCAAGGGTTTGCTGCTACAGCACTACTTGGTCTGGTTTGACTGGTGGCTAAGAACTGTTGTATGGTGGATATTATTGTAGTAAAGATAAGAATAGTTAACAGGGATATGGCAGTGCACTTAGCATGAGATTAAAATCCCTGCAACAGTTATCTGACTGGAAAATACATATTTAAATACCCACAAAGGATTAATATATTTAATGAGAAATAGCATTTTTCCGATTAAAATCAAAACAGACTGAATCTTCTAATCTGCATCGTGCCAGCAGCAATCAACTCGCACACTGTTGTAAGGGATAAAGATACGAGGTGTGTGTGTGTGTGTGTGTGTTTGGTGGGGCATTATGCATTAAAGAGGTGTGTATCAGTGTTTGTTCAGTAGTGCGTGGATCTGTATGAGTGGTGGTTGGTATTGCACAACCGCATAGGATGTCTGGTGATGGATGCAGAGAGAAGTGAAAGACTGAGTGTTCTGACTATTTCAGCCAAAAAGGAAATAATGCTTTCTAGTTCTCTATTTGAATACTGAGTGTACTTTAGGATCACAAACCTCGTCAGTGCTGGTGTCCTTACATCCACTCGTCTTGGAACAGAACAACATATTTGGACCATTCAGCCTTGGAATTTGACAGTTTTAACAAAACTTTGGGGGAGTTTATATTCTACTGTTAAAAACTTACGCATGGTGGGAGATTTTTTTAGGCTGGTTTCTGTATTCTTATATTTGAATGCACAATTTAATGGACCTCCATAAATCCACTGATTCACTGCTGATTTAGGGCTACAGCCCCTAGTTTCTTTATTATTTTCTCCCACTAAAATCCACTCACTTACAGTACGAATGTCACTGATTTCCACATCATCTTCCGCAGTTTCATTTATTTTGCTAATAAATAAAAATTAAGCACATTTATGTTGCCAAGTCGCAGTCTTCTGCTTCTCTGCCTTTGGAAATGTTGGAAAATGGAGCATTAGTTGAGAATAAAAGTTCATTTTTAAAAATCAGTTTTTTAGAAAACAATCCCACCACAAATAGAGCTCAGGCAGAGATTGTTTCTTCATAAACTGGTGTCATCAGGTGTTATTGTAAAAAGGTGATGGACTGTTTCCACACAACTATTTATTTTTTGGGATGTTGCATCAAAATGTTTTAATAGCTGGATCCAAGAATAATCAGTGTCTAGTTATAATGTACACTAATGACCATACAAAGCCACTCTAAATTTGTGTTTGCATTTATCTTGATACACAAATTAAATACAAATGGACAACTTAAAAGCGAGCTGTACATTTTAATGATAATTATATATATATGAAGCCAATTAAGGTGCAAAATTCTACTTTGATATAAATCGTGCTTGACTTGTGACTCATGCACACTTACCAAGAATCTCACCTCTTTCACTACTAAGAAGTTCTGTTAGTGGGTGAGGCTCTGACTTAACCTGTAACTATATCCATTGTGGTCACTTCATCACTTCAGGAAAATGTAACATATTTCAGATCCGTTCATGCAGATCTGAGTCTCTGTTGTACAAGGAGAAACATGAAAGGCAACAAAATGGTCACACAAGACAAGCTTCCTTTTATAGGAAAATTTTAATAGTTATTCAATGTTCTACATTTTACAGTAAATATACAATTACAAACTTGGCTTAGTTATAGTACTAAGATCACTAACTGATCTTAAAAAAAAAAACCAAAAAAAATAAAAAAAACCAAAAAAAAAAAAAAAACCCTCAACAACGAAAAAACGTAAAAAAACAAAAATTAAAAACAGATTTACACTTCATATCACAAGCCTGACGCTGGTCCTTCACTCCGGACCAAATAGCTAACATACAATTCACTTCTCTCAACGCTGAACAGACGTTGGGCTTCTGTTTCAAACACAACCTTACGGTAACAGATATACCATAGCATGTGCAAACTGGGTACCAAACTAAAACTTCCAAAGATGGGGTTGTTCCTAATACTCGATCCAGTGGGGATACGAATATGCTGTTTTTTTGGAAGACAAGGAATTTCCACTTTTTGCATCACATTTAGTGTCAAATTAAAACTAAGAGATATCTCTGACAAACTGAAATTAAAAAAGCTGCAGCAGAACATCGAAGACATTTAAGAGCCTACTATTCACTGTGATAGTAGTGTTTTAATTTATACTCATGAAAGAAAATAAAAACTAAGACTTAGCAACTGCAAGGAAAAGGAGAAGAGAGAGGGAGAGGAGAGGAGGGAAGATGGAAGGAGAGGAGGTGTTATGAATGGTTCTGGTTGCATTTTCACTGTCAAAGTGAAGAAGCGCAAGGTTAAAATATGTGAAAAAGTAATTCTCGTTAAAATGACCACCTTTCAGTGTTTGGAAATCACCAAGGACTGAATGATGGTCAATAAAAAGATGATAAAAACACCCATGATTAAGACAACTTTGTATTTCCCCTTCTAAAAACACATCAAAGTGTTCCACTGTCCATTTTAACTTAAGTGCAAATTGAAATAAATGAGAGGCAAAGAATGGAGTGAAATGAGGAAGCAGTTTCACCACCCTTAAAACCCAACTATCCGAAATGCTCCGTGGGTCTGCCTCTCTGAGCCTCCACGTTAAAAACAGAATTACAGTTTTTAAGAGCATTGGTCCCGAGCACAGAAAAGCAAAAAAACTCTTATTAAACCTCAAAATCATCAACTCCTCCTATAAGAACAACATTTTTGTTGTCTAAAATACCATTTCTGAAAATGTCTTAAAACGAAATAAGACTTTTAATTTGGAAAAAAGACCCTCCCACCCCCAAAAACATCTCAGTGCTCAAAATGTGGCATCCAGTTGAGATTCTTAAATGTTAATGACACCAATAACTATTTTGTGTCAGAGCCTTGAACCATGGTGGTGCCACTTTCAGACTTTGTCACTGGCGACATCTAGTGGAAATTTCTGAATTGTCAAAAAAAATACAACAGATCATCGCCGTGAGTGACACCAATTTAATGACCATCATATAGTTCAATAGGACTACTGAGACAGGGAGGAGGAGAGGGTTGCAACGGTCAGACTGAAAGCACATAAAAGGCCAAAAAAACAAAAAACACGAGACAGAGAGAGCAGAGGGTTTAAAAACAAAAGAAAAACAAGGTAAAGGTAGACCGGGGAGCGGGCAGAACATACGCACCAATTTGCATCCTTGAATGTGATAAATGTTTGAATGGTTGGAGGTATGCAAAATGGCCTCTGAAGGGAGTTGTGGCACAACTTTAAAAATAGGATCAACACAGAGGATACAGTAAGGAAGATAAAAAGGTAAGACAGGCAATATGCATTAACAACAATGTGAGAAATAGGACAGCAATAGGAAAAACACAGATTTCACAGGAAGCTAGACATAACAAGGACTCAGAATTCACCAGTTACTTAGGAGAAGAAACTAATTTTTAATCGAACAACTGTTGGTGAAATATGGCACAGAACAAAAGTCATGGAGGCTGAGGGTTTTCGTTGTCGGCCATTACATCTTCGCACCCCGCAGAACGGAAAA